AAAATGTTCTATTGCTAGTTACTTCGGCTTGGACGACGCAAATTTTTAAAGGAAAGAGCGCAGTTGGGATAAATCGTATATTTTGAAACCAATGTTTACTAGGCCGGAAAACCATCACATATCCGCGCGATTTTAATGAAACTTTTAACAGTTTTCGAGCCATCTGTCTTCTGCAGATTGTGAAAGTTCCCGATTTCTACTTGCTTTGGTTTACAAGACTGGAATTTTTGAAAGCAAGAGTGCAGTTGGGTAAGAGTTTCTACTTTAAGGCCGAGTTTTATGAGCCCTAAAAAAATTGAAATCAAGGCAATGTTAATGAAACTTTCAGCAATTATGAGCGTCAAATGTCTTCTAAGGATTGTGGAAATTGCCAATCGCTACTTGGGTCACTTTGGAAGATGCGATTTTTTTATAAGAATGAACGCAGTTGAATAAAAGCTTCTATTGAGAAGTTAACTAGGTCGGAAAAATTAGAAGCCAAGGCGATTTTAATGAAAGTTGTCGTGTCTTCTTAAAATTGTAAAAATTTGAAGTGCTACTTGAACTGTGAATTTTTGACATCGAGAACGCAGTTGTGTGATGTCTTCTATTTCGAGTCCAATGTTTACTAGGTCGAAAAAAATCAGAAATCCGGGCGATTTTAATGAAGCTTCCAGTAGTTTTAGTGTTATGTGTTTTCTGAAGATTGTGAAAGTTTCCGATTTCTACTTGCTTCGGTTTGGAAGATGCGAATTTTGACGGAGTTTGGTGAGTTCTTTTATATAAAGACCAATGTTTTCTAGGCGGAAAAAAATAAAATTGTGTGCTATTTTGGTGAAACTTTCAACATGTGATATATGTTCTAAATATTGTGGAAGTTGCGGATTTCGACTTGATTTGGTTTAGAAGTCGCAATTTTTTAAAACCAAGAGTGCAGTTAGGTGATGTTATCTATTTTAAGACCAATGTTTACTAGCGGGAAAAAAATCACGACTTTGTGCGATTTTAGTTAAATGTTCAACATCTTTAGAACTATGTATCTTCTGACGATTGTGAAAGTTCGGAATTTCTACTTGCTTTGGTTTGGAAGACGCAAATTTTTAAAACCAAGAGCTCAGTTAGGTGATGTCATCTATTTTAAGACCAATGTTTACTAGGCCGGAAAAAATCACAACTTTGGGTAATTTTAATAAAACTTTCAACGTGTTTAGAGTGATGTGTTTTCTGAAGATTTTGGAAGATTCCAATTGCTACTTGCTTTAGTTGGAAAGATGCGAATTTTTAAATGCGGGAGCGCAGTTGATTAAGGGCTGCTACTTCAAGGCTCTTTGTGTCTGACATTTAGGAGGCATGCAAAATTTAAAAATCAATGTGGTGCTACCGAAACTTGCAGAAATTTCGAGCGTCAAGTGTCAAGATTGTGAAAATTTCCAATCGCTACTTGGTGCAGTTTGGAAGATTTTGGATAAACGCAGTTGGGAGCAAATCAATCAAAAATCCCAACGTGACAAAGCCAATAAAAACACTTACAATGATACAAAGACGCGTTTGCCTTTGATGTATGAAATTTCGTCCTAATGCATTGATCAGCGTGATCCAATTGAAATTCTCCAAATGTTTGACCTGATTTCTTGCTGCTGACCTGCCGTAAGTACTCTCAAACTGTCGCTTACTCGATTTTAACTTGGATAATTTTGCCCATTTTCCTGGCAAAATCATAAATATTTTGATACATTCCGGGACAGTTTGGCTGTTTACAACATTTATTATTAAAGAAACAGCCTCGTTTCGCTCAATTCGTGGCAGTTTCAATTGGCAAAGATCTAATTCAAACGCATAGAGCGCAACCGTCTTTTCAGCAAGTAGTCGCAGTATAAAAGCAAATAAAGTACGGCGATTTTCCTTTTAAATTAGATTATGCCCTTTGCTTTGAGAGGAAGAGAGACATTTAATTTGAGTCGTCCTCAGCTCGGAACATTTCAGTTACTTATCGCGAAGATTAAACTGGAAATTATTCCCTTTTTAACGCAACGACATCTTGTGGATGCGGGACATTATTCAGTAGAAGATCGCATAGAGAACTTTCGACTTTCCAGTTGAAATACCATCGAAGTTGTATTAAGCATTCAATGGGCGGAGGTGCCGAAAACTGTACTCCCAAGTGAATTCAGGCCCTCAGATTTACTGCCTCTGGTCAACAGCTTTATTGAAACAATGTTCGAATCTTCTGGGAATGCAGCCGAACTGTATTCTGGATTTGGCATAATCTGGGGCCTCCGGCGCCTCATTCTATAAGTTATCTAAGTTAATGACATCTATGCTGATTTAAATGAATTATATTAAACTGATACAGGTTTAACAGCCGGTGGTTTGCGTTAAAATTCATTAAGCTGGACGATGAAATCGAACATTCGTTTTCGTAATCAGAGGGCAGGGAAATTAAATTCAGCTGTTTTCGGGCGTTTTCCGGCCAAACAAAATAACATATTTCCAAGGGGAATTTTCGTTCCAAATGCTAATGTTGCAGTTGTTCTATTTGTTGGGGGAGGTTTTTGTGGGTTTACATTACTAAAGCAACCCAATGACCTTTTATATTGATCTGAATTGAGCATTATTCCAAACTGATGCTTTCAGTATGAGTTTGTCTGGCTTATTTCTAGTTACAGTTCTAAACCTGCCACTTCTAAGAATGCCTCAACATCGGAAAATTTTGTCCAAATCGCCTTAATCCCTGATTCTTTTGCGGATTCGAAAAATTTGGCGTAAAAATGGGCGTTTTAAATCAAAACCACCCTTTGCTTCCAAAAATCCCAACTTTCTAGAGCAAGCAGACACTTGGAACTTTCAACGTCTATGGCACATAGTTGAGGCTCACAAAACGGAAAATTTCGCCCACATCGCCCGAATCCCTGATTTTTACCAACTTGTTGAAAAGTTTGCTTGAAAATGGAAATTTGGGCCTTAAGAACCCTTTGCTTCAAAAAATACCAACTTCCAATCTAGAGCAAGCAGACCCTGGAAACTTTCTTAAATCATAGAAGACCGTTGAAGGTCAAAATGCGGAACGTTTCGCCCATATGGCCTTAATACCTGATTTTTTGCCGATTCGAAAAATTTGACATAAAAGTGGGCGTTTTGGCCCAAAACTTGCTCTTTGCTTCAAAAAATCTCAACTTCCAATCTTGGGCAAGCAGACCCTTTTTTGACAGTCCATAGAAGACCGTTACAGCTCAAAATGGGGGAAATTTCGCCCAAATAGTCTTGATTCCTAATTTTTTGCCGACCTGGAGCATTCGGCATAAAAATGGAGGTTTTCGCCCAAAAGCACTCGTTGCTTCAAAAAATCCCGAGGCGTTTTCACACAGACTTTATTAGTTGTCATGTTTGCAAAAACTTTTGCAGTCTATCCAGTTCCCAGTAAAGTTTGATTATATTTTTAACACAGTAAATTCGTATTAGTCTCGAAAAAGAAAGCGCTTCTTTACTCCGACACGAAAATAAAGAAAAAGGCTGTATACGAAACTTTATTTAAAATTATTCTGAATATTTTCGTAGTTAGGATAATAGTCTTGTCGGGAATGGCGCTAAATAATTTCATTATGTAAACGGGCCCGTAATTTCAACTTTTAATATAAAGAAGCGTTCGGGTACTTACGCGATTCTGGATTGTAATGGGCCGTTGCATATGCATTTATGGAAATGAACGTCACCGCTAACCATTACAATATAAGGGCATCTGCCGCGGGAATTATAAATTACTTTTGCCTGTTTGTCCAAAGTTTACCGATTTGATTATCCGGGAACAGGGAAAATAATATGTCAAAGCCTCTGCGCATCTATCCGAAGGTATTTTTCATCAGAACATTTTATAATTCGAGGAAGACTTAAGCCGAATATCGAAAACGGCAATATTAAAACTTCCTCCAGCCCCAACGTCTAGAAATTCCATTCGGGAAAATGATAAATTAGATTTAGCCAACGAACCGTATTACAGTAACTCGGGCTTGAAATCTGGTTGCCTGTGTGTTTTCACATATATAGCCGAATATGACAAAAATATTGACTAAAACGTAAAGACGAGGCAAAAAATTTACTTCAGCTGGAACAGGAATGGAGTAATGAATATTTCAGGCATGGGACGGATCTCATGCATATCTTACAAAGGTTAAAAGAAAACGCAGAAACGGGCCAAGTTACATTCGCGAAGAAGCGCAGTGAACTTAATTTTTCCGCCTAAAAAATGCCCATTAGTGCCAAATTAATTCCCAGATTTTGATGAGTTTCCGTAATGGATCCAGATTTCCGGTTCGAATTAAATTCCTCAAAGCAGAACGTCGAATTGCCATCTCGACAATTATCGCAATACTTTGGGAAATTAATCAATTCCGTTTTGCAACTTCAGGAAATTTAATCGGGAAAAATTCAATGAACGAAGACGCACAGACAATGGAACTGAAATCTCACTAATGCAATTTATTTCTCAGATTTATGGGCGGTTGCAAACGCAAGTGGAAACGACATGAAAAGCTTTTGTTTTACCACATCCACATTGCTGTGTAAATTGCAGAACAACCACAAAAAATTAATGTCTGAAACACGGCACGATTATTTACAAAAAATATGTTTTGTTATCACTTCTCATGCAACTCGAATTTAAAGCAATATATCCAGTCTTTTCCACAACTGAGTTCTAAAATGCTTCGTCCGAGTTGACTACTTACATTTTCACAACCTTTAGAAAATACATTTTTACATCAATCAACTACAGATGCGTTCTCGAACTAAACAAAAGCGGAAAAAAGTTCAAAAATCGGGTGCTAAACTTTGGAAATGCACACAAGTGCCGTAAAAGCTTCATAATGCGAGCTGGTCAAACCATTTGAAAATGAGAACCTTTAGCAGTAAAAAGACGAACAACTCGGGTAAAAATCCTACACATAGGGACTATTTCATGCAAACTCCTTTCAGTTAAAAAAAGAAAACTTGAACAGGCATTTTATTAATGTTGCCCCCTTTTACAGGCGGAGATTTGGAGTGTTTTCATCGCCATCCTCAGGAAGAGTGTTCGAAACCTGCAGGCCTGTACCGATGTCTGCCTTATTGAGCACGTCCTGAAAAGGTTGCGGTATGCAGACACTGTTGTTTCAGGTAAAGTAAACATGTGTTTTTTAATCAATTCAAGTGAAAGCTTTAAGGCATTTTGTTGACACTTTTTTCGATTTTATTCCCTTGTTCTTTAATAATTGGAGCACAACATAGATATTCATTAAAGTTTAAGGCTTTTGTTGTGCCGAGCTTTCCTATTATCTTCAATAAAACATCTTCTTGTTCAGTTCATTTTCGAGTCGAGTCAATTTATTCAAATTTAGATTTATGGCCAGAATCAGAACCAATATTTCTGTAACGTTGCATTAAAATATGCTACAAATGACGGCAAAACACGTTTTTTCACCCGGACTTCGTTCACAATTCAAAAGTGAGAAAAACGCAGCGATAATGGGTCGTCATTAGTCAAATTAAAATGTTCTTTTTAATCTTTCCTTAGTCTCGACACGCTGTTTCGTTGTGTTTAACTCGGCCCGTCAGATTTATCTTTGGAAATTGGAAACAGTTCTCTTTGCAGGGTTTCTTCCTATTTTTCTCATGTAATTAAGGTTTCTGAGTTTCTCTAAAAATATGTTCAGTTACTATTAGGTGGCTGTTGGGTCGAGCATACCACCTTTGAAGGCGAATGCCACTGGTGCTTGCGAAACGCCCGCAAGAAATTATCTTCCACGGCGGCTTTAAAGCCCTCTTGCTCCCTCAGAAGGGAAATGAATTAGTTAAAAGCCCCAGCTTTTACAGTTGAAATTCCGTATGGGCACCACGAGGAAAATAATGATAAAAACACATTCGAAGGCGATTAATATTCAAAAAAGATAACAAAGCAAATTAAAATCTGAATTGATCGTCTGATCGCAGGTTTTCCAACAGTGTTTACTTACGTGCGTAATTGGGCCCTTCAGCCCTCATTTCAATTTCATACATTCACCCTTTTTGCAATTTGATGTGCAGGTGTTTGTTTTTCGTTAGTTCAGCCAACCATCGGGGCAATGCATTAAAAAGTGTGCAAATTGCAAATTAGGCTTTTGAAAGTAGGCAATAAAATAATTGCCCTCTACCATAATCGATCAATGAAGCTGCACCACATGCACCATTGCAGCTTGTTCTGCCGTTTTTATTTATCTACAACGTTTATTCGGTTAATTTAGTTAATCTAGCAGAGTGCAATTTAGATGTGTTTTGAGGTAAAACTTTCAATGTTTGCTATTTTATTTCAGATTTGCTCATAGAAATGCTCGGTGTGTTGGCCAGCTACAGTATCACTGTCAAGGAACTGAAGCTTCTTTTCGGAGCTATGAAGGCTTCTCATGCCAAATGGGTAAGTAAAATTTCATATTCGATATGAAACTTTTGCGGCTCTAATAAAGCGGGTTTATGGTCAAATTCCGGCTTCTTGCCGTCATAACCGTTAGCCAAGTCATGTTTTTGCTCTGTTCCGGACAGGAGAACTTGGACTCGGCATCATTTCCTAGTTGGAAAATTGAATTAAATTAGCTGAGACTTTCGGGAAAAACTACGCGAGTTGTTGATAACTAGATTTCTATTATTCACTAGGGGGCCTCTCAACAGAATTGAAAATTTTGGCGAAATATTTACAGCCAATTTGAGACGTGAATTCGATACTGTTCCTTGAGCCGTTTCATTATTAAGACATTTTATTTATTATGGCTTTAACGAAGGGTCGGCTCACAGGCCCTTTCAAAATGAGGGCGATCTTGTTTCCGACATTTCAATCGTTCAAATGACCCCCGACGAATATCGTGTTCGATCCTCTGTAGCACTCGGGAAAACTCTCAATTTCTTGGTCAATAACCGATCAAGAATAATCGTCTTGTTCGTGTCTGTTCTGTTTAATGAATAGAAAAATGAAAAAAAAATTAAGAAGTTCAAAATGTAAGTTGAAACCAGCGTAGGGGTTTGCGGTTAAAATTAATATTTTGGGGTTTTCTGATGTTCCTGATTAGTCGAGAACCAATGTGAAATTTTCAAAAGGGGTAAAGTATGTTTCTTAAAAAAATCAGGTTTTGTGAACTGGCGCAGTTCGTCGTCAATTTTATAGCAAGGAAGAGAGGAATGCAGGGCGCTTATTGAAAAACATGATAGACGCTTGAAAATCGAAATATTTCACATTTCTGGTCTGTTTTAAGCGGTTTTGATCGGTTACGCCGGAAAGCTAGAAATGTAAGACGCTTATTGAAAAACACACCAGAAGCTTAAAATTTTAAATATTTGACCCATTTTAAGCGGTTTTCCTTTAGTTCCGATCTTTAACCGAGGATATTTTTCTAATCATAGACTCAAAAACTTTCAGTATACAAATTGGAAGGTTTCTTATGCCGAAAGTCATTCATTGAGCTCAAGAAACACGCATGTGAAATTTAGATTTTTCAACGAAATTTGTATAAGGGTCGATATAGAGGTCGATTTTTTCGAGAAATATCGAGACTTTCAAATTGCCTCAAATTCGGCATCATTTTCAGCACAGGAAAGCTAGAACTATAAGACGCTTATTGAAAAATACACTAGAAGCTTAAAATTCGAAATATTTGACATTTTTGGTCCATTTTCACCGGTTTTTGTTTAGGTCCGATCTCTAACCGACGATATTTTTCTAATTGTAGACTCAAACACTTCAAAAATGCAAATTGGAAAGTGTCTTAGGTCGAAAGCCATTCATTGAGCTCAAGAAACAGGCACGTCAAATTTAGATTTGTCAACGAAATTTTTATAAGGGGTACAGGTCAATTTTTTCGAAAATTTTTAAAAATACCTCGAATTCTGCATCACGTTCAGCATAGAAAAGCGGGAAATATAAGGCGCTCACTGAAAAACACCCCCGAAGCTTCAAATTCGAAGTCTGTGACATTTTTTGTCCATTTTCAGCGGTTTTTGTTCAGATCCGATCTTTAACCGACGACATTTTTCTAAATGTAGACTCAAAAACTTTAAAAATTCAAATTGGAGCGTTTTGTCGGTCGAAAGCCATTCATTGAGCTCAACAAAGACGCATGCAAACTTTTGATTTTTCAACGAAGTTTTCACAAAGGGGTAGAGGTCGATTATTTTGAAAAATATCAAGTCTTTCAAATTGCCTCGAATTCGGCACGATTTTCAGCACACGAAAGCTAGAAATATAAGACGTTTATTGAAAAACACACCAGAAGCTTCAAATTATAAATATTTGAACCATTTTAATTGTTTCTCTTCAGTTCCGATCTTTAACCGGCGATATTTCTCTAATCGTAGGACTAAAACACTTTAAAAATGCCAATTGGAAAGTTTCTTAAGTCGAAAGACATTCATTGAGCTGAAGAAACACGCGTGTGAAATTTAGAGTTTTCATCTAAATTTTCAACAGGGGTAGGTGTCGATTTTTTCGAAAAATATCAGGTATTTCAAAATGCCTCAAATTCTGTATTATTTTCAGCACAGAAAAGCGAGAAATATAAGATATCATTGCAAAACACGCAAGAAGCGTCAAATTCGAAATATTTGACATTTTTGACCCATTTTAAGCGGTTTTTGATCAGTTCTGGTCTTTAACCGACAACATCTTTCTTGTTTTCGACTCAACGGCATTATAAATGCGCATTAGGGAGCTTCTTAGGTCGAAAGCCATCTATTGAGCTAAAAAAACGTGCATGTGAACTTTTATTTTTTCCAATCAAGCAAGTTTCTGTAATGAAGTATGTATGCGTAAACACACTTCATTACATGTTACATTGCAAACTTGTTTGATTGAATTTTATCCAGTGTGTACACACCCACTTCTTCTTGTTTTATTTTTTTACCGAAATTTTCATAAAGGGCCGAATTTTTCGAAAAAATCAACCGGCTTAAAATGTCTATAATTCTACATCATTTTCACCAAAAAAAGGGGGTGGAATGCAAAGTCCAAATAATCGAAATTTTTGGACCATTTCAAACGATTTGTAATCGAACACTATGCCTCAAATTCCATACCGTCAATTTTTATAAAATAATAAAGATTTTCGTTAATAATCGTGGATCGCAATGAGGTAGATTTTGAAAAGTGGCACGCCGCGTTTAATTAAAACTTCACAAATCAGATTGATAAATAAAATGGGACGATGGGCCCCGCCGATCCTTAAAATCGCTAAATGGTTTCGAAGGGATTAATATTATTTCCGGGAAAATGAGCGCGCGGTTTTGTAGCAATCCAATTAGGAAAACGTTTCAATTTATTTGATCGGCCACATTTCTGTTTTAGCCCCGACACTCCGCCAAACTGCTGAACGTCCTACGTCAGATGCCCCAAAGGACGGGACCGGACGTTTTCTTCAGCTTTCCCGGCAGGAAGGGATCGGTAAGTACGACGAGATTTCCCGTTTAGTGCGGCCCAACGATACGATTTTCCACCATATTTTACCGTTTATTTTTTCGCTTTCGGACCGGTTCAGCTCGAGGCAAGAAAATATTATTAGAGCCGTTAATATTTCGGTTTGGGAAATTAGTCCAGCTGATATTTTCAAAGGCAGTACGATGGAAAACCTCGTTAGTTCAAAGCCAACTTTATTAGCTGGAAAATATGCAGCGACACTTCCTTAAGAAGGCTCTAATCATCAAAATGCAGCAGCTTTGTTTCATTATCCGCTTTATTTCCTTTTCCTGTTTCAATTTGAACGTTAATTCGCGTTAGCTGGAAAATGTCCGAGTGACTTGTCTTGGAAAAGTGCAATTAGGGCCTCAACTGAACTGAGGATCACCTGATTAAACCCGGTTATTTAAAGATTGCAAAATACCGGATTGGCAGCAGCTAGATGGAAATTTCAACGAAAAGAACATGTTTTATATTGGATTATTTTCGTTCCGAAATTAATTCCCTAAAGTTGCACGTGGCGGGGGCTTTTGAAAAGAGACTGATCCGATTAAATTAAGGTGGCCTGGGCAATGAAACGAGGCAAGCATATTTTTATACTACAGCTAGGATTGAGCGGTAAACTAGAGCTAAATAATGGTTCTATCTCACGTTCGCCGCTCACATTGAACATATGTGCGGTTTATTGTTTCGTTAAAAATTGCTTATCCATTTTTCTTTCTCGACTTTTGTTATTTTTCATTTCCAGGCGATAGTTCTGCCTCCCTTGGCGAAATGGCCCTACGAGAATGGCTTTACCTTCACGACGTGGTTTCGTCTCGATCCCATAAACTCGGTCAACATCGAGAGAGAGAAGCCCTATTTATACTGGTAAGGGATTGACATTTTTGTGAGATGGGTTCTTCTTGCCGCCCTAATAAATCCAGTTTATGTTTGCGGATCACGAAAAGTCATTTCCGATATTTTGTTTGTAACCGCAAGGCGTTTGCTTTAATGCCTCAAGCCGAACTGCACTCATTCTGCTCAACGATTCTTATTTCTGCTTTCTATTCAATGATTTCACAGATTTTTACTTCGGGTTTTCACTTTGATTTTGCGCCAAAAGGACCTTTCAGTAAATGGTTGTAATCAACTTATTATTGAAGAATTGGCAGGCAAAATTGTTGTCGATAATGGTGAAAAGTCTGGCCGCATTTTGTGCATAAATTCTTCAGTCGCTATTTTTTTAAAATAATTTTAATAATTTTAATAAAAAATTAGTCTTATTTGCGCTCTGTTCAGCAATGCCAAACTTCTGCAATTTTTGGTGATTTTTCGGATTTTGTGAGTTTTCTTCAATGTGCTCAATTGTTTTAAAGTATTCATAAGTTACAAATTATAGCAGATATAAAGAGGAACTTTTAAACGGTTATCTAAAGAACGTCATTCGTTGAACATCCAAAATTGCGAAAGCTTTGGAGTTTCGATTGATGTTTTATAGTTTTCCAAAGTTTGATTAAAAGCTGCTAAAAACTTTGAGTGCGCACGATTGCTTTAAAAAATTCACGACTTGTCAAACGATGCATGAAAAAGGGTAAATTTCAAAATTTTGAATTTTGATTTCAACACGAAGTTTAGTTTTTTTGCAACATTGCCAAACTTTGGCAACTTCCCGTGATTTTCAGATTTTTTTAAAGCTTCGTTAAATGCTGCTCTCTTGTTTGTGCTCAATTGTATAAAAACATTTATAAGTTGGCAATTAGGGCAGATACAAAGAGGAACTTTTAAATAGTCATGCAAAAAACTTCAGTAATTTATCATTGAAAATTGCCAAAACTTTGAAGTTTCCGTTGATTTTTAAAATTTTTTTTTCGAAAGTTTTATGGGAAAATATAAATTTTAGAGCTTCAATAGACACCAAGTGCAGTTTTTTTATGCAACACTGCCCAACTTTTGCGATTTCCAGTGTTTTTCAGATATTCGTAAGCTTCAATAAATGCCGCTCGATTATATTAAACTACACTTTTTAATGCTCGTCAAATAAACGTCAGTCGTTCACTGTAGAAATTTTGCAAAATTTGGCAACTTCTGCTGATTTTTGAAACTTTCCTAAATTTATTTGAAGAACTACTGTTTTCACTTTGTAGGATCGCTTTTTAAAAGTCACGAGTTTCCAACTAAGGTATGGCCGAATCTAAATTTTAAAATTTTGACGCAAAGAGTTCAGTTGTTAATTATACAACATTGCCAAATTTTAGGAATTTCTTAGTGATTTTCAGATTGTTTGAAAGCTTCGTTAAATGCTGCTCTCTTGTTTGTGCTCAATTGTGTAAAAATATTAATAAGTTACCAATTAGAGCAGATATAAAGAGGAACTTTTAAATAATCATCCAAAAAACTTCACTAATTCATCATAGAAAATTGCAAAAACTTTGGAGCTTCCGTTGATTTTTTAGAGTTGTCGAAAGTTTTATGGAAAAAGATAAATCTTAGAGCTTCAATAGACAGCAAGTGGAGTTTTTTATACAACATTGTCAAACTTTTACGATTTCCAGTGATTTTCAGATTTTTGAAAGCTTCAATAAATGCCGCTCGTTTGGAAGTTGTGCGCGATTGTATTAAACCACACTTTTTAATGGTCGTCGGATAAACATCAACAGTTCCTTGTAGAAATTTTGCAAAATTTGACAACTTCTGTTTGTTTTAGAGAGTTTCCTAAATTTATTTTAAGAGCTGCTGTTTTGACTTTGTAGGATCCCTTTCAAAAAAGTCACGAGTTTCCAACTAAGGTATGGAAAAATAAAAAAATGTAAATTTTGACGGAAAGAGAGTTCAGTTGTTAGGTATACAACATTGCCAAACTTTCGGAATTTCTAGTGATTTTTAGATTTTTTGAAAGTTTCATTCAATGCTGCTTTTTTGATTGTACTCGATTGGTTTAAAATATTCCCGAATTGCAAATTAGGATCGATAAAAGGCTGCACTTTTTAACAGCCATCAAATAAACATCAATTGTTCAATGTCGAAATTTTGCAAAACTTGGCAATTTCTGTTGATTTTTGAGGGTTTCTAAAATGTATTTTAAGAGCTGCGGTTTTGATTTTGTACGATCGCTTTCCGTAGATTTTTCAGAGTTTTGAAAAAAAATTCTTGAGTTGCCAGCCTAAGGTTTTGAAAAAGCGAAAATTTTGAATTTCGATAAAAGCTAAGTTTAGTTTCTTTGTGTGCAAAAAAATCGAAAACCCCTTCACTTGTTTGTTCTGCAAATTTTGTAAATTCTTTGAAATTAACGATTATTTTTGAATTTTCAAAAGTTTAATTAAAAGCTTGCTTGATCGTGCACAATTGCATCAAAAATTTCATTTCCAACTGAGGCTTGGAAAAGGTAAAATTTTAGAAATTTTTATGGAAATAAAGCTTAGTTATTATCTTTCGGTACAACATTGCCAAACTATTACCATTTCAGAGATTTTTGAGTTTTTTAGAACATTCGGGAGTTGCACAGTAGAGCAGATGGAAGGATCTCCATTTTTGGAAATGCATCGAAAAAACTTCCGTAATCTAAAGTTTTGGAATTTGAGTTGATTTTAGTCATTCGTTGGCTCACATTTTCGACTTTCATTTAAGAAACGGTTCTCTAAAGTTCATAATTGTGGTAATTTTTCAATTTTGAGCGATTTTTGGAACATTTTCAAAATCATTTTAAAAACCAGTTGGTTGCAATTTTGGTTTAATAATTTCACCTTTTGTAAACCAATGTTAAGAAAGATTTGGGTTGCTGTGTGCAAAATCGCAAATATCTTGCGTACTTGAACTTGCGAACTTAAGTCAGTAAGTAAATGCTTGTAGGTTGCAAAACTAAGGCAGACAGAACGCAGATTATCGAGATTTTGTTGAAAACCCTCTTCAGTTTTTCATTAGGCTAAATCTGGATTTTTTGCCAGCATTTCTTTGACGTTCAGAAACTCTCAATTTTTATTTAGAGCATATAAAATATAATAACGTAAGCATGGATGGTTTGTTGGAAAAATAAAATTTTTCCTTTCGAATTTTCCAACACTAATTGCATAATGTTGTCCTTTGTTTCTTTGCAGCTTCAAAACAAGTAAAGGCATCGGTTACACAGCGCACTTTGTTGGCAATTGCTTAGTTCTGACTTCAATGAAAGTTAAAGGCAAGGGGTTTCAACATTGTGTGAAATATGAGTTTCAGCCTCGAAAGGTAAGTGAGCGTACGTAATAAAATGTACATCAGAAAACCCGCTATATTGGAAAATATTTGCAATTTAATTGTACTTCATTGTTAGATAATTTCTGTTACACAGCAGACTGTATGGTGCCTAATTGAAAAGCGTCCGTATTCACTAAATTAATTTTGTGCTGATGTATTAGAGTTAATTAGTGTTCTAAATTGAAAATTATCTTTTAGTCGATGTTGTAAAACATCTCGCATGAAATGAAAATGGATTTGATAATTATTAGTTTGGTGTGCAGCTTTTTGATCCAACTCATTGCAAAGGAATATTTGATTAGAGTACCTGGAATTTCAATCACTAATTGCTATTGACTTGCGTTCATGTTTCACATAATCGAATTCGATGCGTTCGCTTAATAAATCATTACGCTTCGATTGTGAATGCGAAAAATAAAACAAAGCCCGAATCATTTATGCTGCGAATATAGAACAAGCTTTTTTCACTTTTTCCAATACCGCATCGTATCTGGAGTAAACGACGTTATGATAAATGGACCCTCTGGGACTCATTTAAGGGATGTTTCCAGTCGGGGTTACTGGATTTATCTTTATTGCTTATTTTTCAACTTTCCATTCCAATTGTCCTTCGGTCGCATACTGCGGGACGAAAACATTGCAGCTGATTGAATGATTTTTCAGTTGTTCAGTTTACATCCAATTAGCTGTGAGGAAAGTAATTCGGTTGGGAATTTTCAGCGTCAACGCCTATCGAAAGTTATAATTAGTCCGTTTTCTACGGGAAGTTTTCACGCAAGTTCATGCTAGAGTGGCATTTGAATAAACCAAAGACCAGAATCAGGGGCAAACATTCACTGCGAAATAATTCGGGGATTTCAAGCAACCTTCGTTAAATTGCTCACATTTCGACGGCATATCGCGGTTGAAAATCTCGCTTGAAATGAAACCCCTACTGCAAAGGAATGCCTGAAAATGTGTATTCCGAATTTACCCAAAATGTAATTAAACAATATTTGAGCTTCAAGCCCACAGATCAGTGGGCAGATAAAAATTCCATCATCCGCTAAATTAATATATGTTTTGTTTGTATTTTAGTGGTACATGCTGGCCATAGTGTACATTTACAACCGTTGGACGAAGAGCGAAATCAAGTGCTTTGTCAATGGGCAATTAGCATCCAACACTGAAATGGCATGGTTCGTTTCCACAAACGACGTAAGTAAATTATAGCCTTTGGTGTTTGCTTTGCATCGTCACACCCAGTGAATTTTCCATTATTATCGTTTGTTTATCATATTCGGACCAATCCTCCGTTTAAACAATGCTGATTATGTTCGTGCAGTGGACGACGCGGCCTATTTCGCTCCCTTTATTTGTCTGAAACTTCGGCCCTTCAACAGAATGAAGCAATTTCATAGTCATTAGCAAATATTGCCCTTTGCAGTTGTTTAGCAAACTTCCATATAAATGATCCAGGGGCAAACGGCCTTCAAGTCGACGATTTAGTTAATTCGAAATGGGGATGTTTGTTAGCTAATGTGTCTAGTCGGTCAGCAAGTGTTACCCGAATGGGAGAGGATTATCTTCAATTATTCACATAGAGTGCCACCATCCAATATGGGTTTATTAATTATTTATTCTTCCGGCCATAATGGAATAATGGGGTTTCCAATATTCGCACTAGTCACAACTTTTGGGGTACTATTGCTTTTTTAACATTTGGTGGTGGTTTTCAAAATTTGGATGTTTTTCGAGGATATTTAAGCACCTAGTCCTAGTCCTAGTTTCACATTAACTTGCTCATGAACTTGCAAAGTTAGAGAGCCAGATTTTTCGTCCAGTTTGTCGATCAAAGTCTGTTCTATAACGCAAAAATCCTTCGATTTTCAGTCATCAGACAATTTTCAAAACATTTTCAAATTTAGGTCGAGTTTTCGCGGATATTTAAACAGTTCCTGGTTTGGCATTTATTTGCTTATGAAGATGCAAATTTACTGAGCCCCATTTTTCATCAAGTTTGTAGACCAAAGACGGTCAAGCAATTCCATTTTCAGTCATTATCAGATAATTTTTTATAATTTCGCAAAATTATATTTGGTTTACGAGGTTGCTTTTGTAGGCCGGAGTTTTTCATTTATTTATTCAGAAACTAACAAAGCGAAATGGTCGCGTTTGTATGTATTTTGCAGGATAAAGTCTGCTTAGAACTGACACAAAAGTTTCCATTCGCAGTTATGATCAGGCAATTTTCTATGAGTGGAAAATGTTTCGACTTTGAAACATCTTCTGGGAAGTTTTCCCGAATTTGTTTATTTTTTGCGCTTTTTTATGCAAGCCGGAGTTGAACATTTGTTTCTTTAGAAACCAGTTAAATCTAGACATAGTCTGCTTTATAAGTGACAATAGTTTCAATTTTCAGTCATAGTCAGGCCATTTTTGAGAGGTTTTTGAATGTGTTCTTTATTTTAAAAGGTGCTTTTGCAGGCGTAAATTTGCCATTTATTTTCTCATTACCCAGAAGAGCTGAAGAGTCACCTCATCTATGTATCAGTTTCATAGAGGCATGGTCTATAAGCTATAGCTATAAGGAAAAAGTTTCGATTTGGACTCAACATAAGGGAACTATAGCATTTGCTAAAGAGTTTCGCTTGTATTTTGCGCGTGTTTATGCAGGCCGCAGTTTCACAGTTATTTTCTCACAATCTAATCAGTCTAGAGATTGACTTTTGTAAGAATTGTGTAGAGAATAGTCCGATTTAAAAGTGGCAAGCATTTCGATTTTAACTCATCATCAGAGAATTTTCACGATTTCTCAAAGGATTTCGCTTGTATTTTGCTCCTGTTTATGCAGGCCGCAGTTTCACAGTTATTTTCTCACAAACTAATCACTCTAGAGGTTGACTTTTGTATGAATTGTGTAGTGAATAGTGCGATTTAAAATGGCAAACATTTTGATTTTAACTCACCAGGAAATTTTCACGATTTCTTAAAGAATTTCGCTTGTAATTTGCGCGAGTTTATGCAGGCCGCAGTTTCACAGTTATTTTCTCACAATCTAGTCACTGTAGAGATTGACTTTTATATGAATTGTGTAGAGAATAGTCCGATTTAAAAGTGGCAAAGTTTCGATTTTAAGTCATCATCAATGTTTAAGTAGGCCGCAGTTTCACAGTTATTTTGTCACAATCTAATCACCGTAGAGATGACTTTTGTATGAATTGTGTAGAGAATAGTTCGATTTAAAAGCGGCAAACGTTTCGACTTTGGGTCATCTTGCGGTAATTTTGGCTAAGTTTTTGATTGTTGAAATTGCTATTGCAACATTGAATCTGCCATTTATTTACGCAATATCGAAAAAAGCTGTAAATTCACTTTAGTAGACATTTCGTAGGGCAATGTGTGTTCTAAAATGGAAAACGTGCCGATTTTGACTCATTCTCAGGGAATATGCAAGACTTTTTTTAGAAAGTCGTTTGCATTTTACGACTCTAAATTTGGTGACAATTCATACAAAGCGCGATGTGTAGTAATTAGTTCTATATTCAGTGGTTTAGCAATAAAGACGCTAGGTCAATTTCTTCCGGAGATATCAGTCAAGAAGCAGAGCGATGTCTGGAGCGATGGCCAAAAGTGTAATATTCAAATTTCGCTCTTTTTGTTCTCTCTCTACTTGCTGACTCGAGTTTTAATTCTCTATGTATTGGTATAAAAACGAGCGCTGTCACTGAAATCGCTTTGCAGATATGGCCAAAAAGAGAGAGTGCTGTTTGAAGCGATTGCCCAATTTTGTCAAACCAACTTTGAAAATTTGCCTTTTTCTTTTCGTCGGAAAGTCAGTTCCCGATCCAGGGGTGTAGAAATGAACGCGCCAGCTTCAAGCTTTCTGGAGAAATTCGCGGAAAGGTGGAGCCATGTTTCAAACGATGACTTTCCCTTGAGCAATTTTCAAATTTCGCTTTTTCACCTTCTACTTGCTGACTGAAGTTTTACTTTCTGACTGAAGATTTTAAATATATATGTAGTGGCGTAGAAATGAACGCCCAGCCTTCCTTCATTCCTGAGATATGACCAAAAAGGCGGCGTCATGTTTGAGCTGCTTACCTGGGCATTCCTGAATCGCGTTAAATATTCGGTTTTTATGTGAAAACTTTCAATACTTTCCAACTAAAATTGCACTATCGATAAATAGACGATTTAATTTTCTGTCCAGTGCTGTAGAGCTGAGCGTGTTAACTCATTTCTTGCCTGAGATATCAGACAAAAAGTCGTGTTTGAACCGATCGCCGCATATTGCACCTCATTGTGTAATACTCCAATTTCACATTGTTTGCCACCAATTTTTTTTATCAAAGTTTGCCTTCCTGAATGAAGTCCGTAATTCTCTATTCAGTGGTGTAGAAATGCGCACGCTGGTCCAATTGTTTCTAGAAATATCAGCCCAAAGGTAGAGTCATGTTTGAACCTATAGCCTTATTTTGCACTTAATTGTATAATATTCTAATTTTGCATTTCCTGACCCTCATTTCTGGCTCAAGTTTCTCTTTCTGGCTGGATGATTGTTCAACTCTGTTAAAGCCCCGTAAAACTCGAAGTCTGGAAAATTTGCCTTTTGTGTGAAAACTACCAAAATTTCCCAATTAAAATTCCACTTGATCAATGTGTTATTTAAGTCTCCATCCAGTCGTGAAGAACGAGCGCGCTTGCTCAATTTTTTGCGAAGATTTTAGCCAAAATGTAGTCATGTTTGAAACGACGACTGTATCTTGTACCTTCCGGCAGGAAATGTGTTTTAATTTCTCTATCTAGTGGTAAAATTTTGGATCCGCGAGAATATTCCACCTTATCCATCGATAGCCTTTGCTCGAACACACATTTACATGCATAGAACTCTGGTTCCAACGAGTTTCTTTGCAACAATCTCATTTCAAATTATAGAATTTCGTCGAGCAAAAGCTCAACAATTTCGCGTTTATTTTATTTATATTCACCGTGTCTTGTTTGGTGCATGTTTTTCCACAGTATAAAGGAAATGTTGGATTAAGAACTGTTTTTTCCAGCCCTTCGATAAATGCTACATAGGAGCGACTCCCGAACTAGACGAAGAACGGATATTTTGTGGTCAAATGTCGGCCATCTACCTGTTCAGCGAGGCTTTGACGACACACCAAATTTGTGCCATGCATCGATTAGGACCTGGTTACAAGGCAAGTGCTTTTCCAGTTATTTTTTTTTTCTAAGATTCTGTTGATCGAGAAACGACAATTTAATTTATGTGCAGACGTTTTGCAAAGCAAATATTTGAATATTCACAACCGGAAATTGAGTTTCCATGTAGACAAATATTCAAAGTTCGGGCCTTCGGGCCGTTGTATTTGTAATATTTCTTGCATGTCTGGATTGGGCAAAGTCTAATGTTGTATGATGCTGACGTGTGTTGTAGCTGGCAAAACGTTATACATTTGCAGTTTCATTTAAAACACACAAATAAACAGTTACTGCGTTGCGGATGGATATAAATAGAGTTATTAACTTCAATTGGTCCAGTATGGTGATTTTAGCAAGAACTGTTTACATGCTCATGTTTTTTCAATGTGACTAATTTCTGCCAAATGGTAAATTTCAGAGCCAGTTTCGTTTTGATAACGAGTGCAATATTAACTTGCCAGACAATCACAGAAGGGTGAGTGAGAGTAGTGAGGAAAAAACACAAAGCATGGTTATTATTACGCCGTCAGATGCACGAACAGTAAGCAGATTTTGTTTTTGTTTGTTTTAATTTGCAGATTTAACTCGCCTGGTTTGTCACTTTTTAATGCACAGCTGATTTTAATGAATTCCTATACCAATATGTTTATTCGAATGCAAATTACCGGCCTTTCCATGTGATGTTTAAATTAAAATCCCGTTTCGGCATTCTCAATTTTTAGGGACTCCGTTTTAATTAAAATTATTCCGGGATTATTATGAAATCTACATTTGCTTTTTGCAGCTCGATAGGGCGAATTCATTTGCATACAGCCGAATTGGAATAACGGCCATCACAAGGCTTAATTAAATCCATTCAATGGGTCAAATATCTTCAGCATGGCATTAATTAACTTTCAACTTTCCAAATAGTATTTCATTGCAGTATTTATAGTGTTTTGTATGTTTTTTTTGTAGCTGCTTTTCAAGCGCCTGTTTGTTGACAGTGTGTTCTAGTTAAATCGTAATTTCTGCTCAAAATTAATGGTCTAATTCCGCAGGTGTTGTACGATGGGAAACTGTCCAGTGCCATTGTATTTATGTATAACCCAGTTGCAACCGATACGCAGTTATGTTTGCAATCCGCTCCCAAAGGAAATGTATCCTATTTCGTCCATACACCCCATGCGCTCATGTTGCAAGTAAGTATAATATTACCATTTTAATTTCAAAAGCAGATAAACAGCAGATCCATTTTATATACTGCAGCCTTTTCAATTTAGCGTAAAATGGTTTTTCTTCTATTAACTTTGCTTGATACGGTTCAGATTGAGCATCCATAAATCCTTTGCCAGGCAGCGAAAGCAGTCACCTTTGCTTGCTTTAATTTTGGTTTGTTTGCTCAAATTTTTCATGGGCATCTCAAGGAAATGAGCTCTTTTTATACGCCGATTGTAAGGTAAATCGAACATTTTGTAATAAGCTCAATTCTATGCGAATTTGTTTGCATACTTTTTGCGTGGTGTTTCATATTATTGTCCATGAATTAGTACCACAGTTCGCATTTAAATAGAATTTGTGAAATTAATTTTTTTAATTTTTCATAATGGCACAATGTATGACGCACACCTTGTTTTAATAAAAATCAAAACATCGACAACAAATTATTATCAATTTATTCCATTTATGGAAAGTTTTGTGCGTCCAGTTTTTGCGACATTTTCTCTTTGAATTATTCCTTCTCAAACTATCAAAGCACATTATGCTAAAGTGAACTTTTAAAAACCTGGAGCCATTTATTTTTTTGGACGCGCTAAAAAAATAATTTCTGGTTTGCAAAGACGAAGGGATTGCGCCTACAGAGGCGTTTTTCTGAAACCATACTTCAGAAAAATATTCATAATTTGCGAAAGCATGACCCACCTTTCTTCATTTTCATAGTGGAACTCAATAAAACATTTTTGGAAGGTTTACTCTACATTTGCTTTAGCGATTAATAAATGTAACTGTCTGCCGAACTTTCGAGTGTATCGCAGACGTTTTCTTGACTATTGTGATTGTTTTTCAAATAGGAACAAAATGGAATCAACGCTGATTGTACCGTTTCTAATTCGGATTGTTGTAAACTGATTCGAAAAATAAAAAAAAAAATCTTCAGCTGCAGCCCAAACACAAATGAATGCGAGTTTTAAGAAACAGTAAATTGTTAAAACATGCACGGTTAGAAAAAATACGAGAAATTTTAGTTATTCCGCTGGTTCCAAATAATCACACAATTTCAATAAAATTTTACATGAAAAAATAATCTTTACCGTGCCCTGACTCTAAAATTAATCGTTTCACAATTTAAGTGTGAATGACACACATTTTACTTTTCTTTTGCTTCATATTTACAAAAATTTCCATTGACCAGCTGGATTTGACGGTGTTTGTTTGCACAGCTTTGGAATATTCCATTTGGATCACTTGTAGCTGATAATTTTGCAAATTGAATCGAAGAAATGGAGAAGCGTTTTACGCTGAAGACAATCACATATTTGCACAACTTTAGTGTGTATGACACACGTTTCAGTTTTTGTTTTATTTTACTTTTTTAATTATTACGACTCAAGAAATGAAAAAAACATAATATATTTTTCAGATAGATAGATAGATAAAAAGTTGATTTTATCAGTTTTAATAAATTTTCTACTTAGACTCTATGAGATGAAACTTAGCTGACAGTAAATATTTTTTTAGCTAAATTTGTTGTATTTTTAAGGAACAACCGAAATGGAATAAACTCGGGTTCGAAATAACATTGTGTCTGTGAACATTCCTTCTGCCTTTTTTCAAAATTTCACATCGGAATAGAAGCGGATTTAGGCCAAATCCAGGCAAATCTGCCTCCGCTCCATTTAAATGGAAACCGTTTAGCCAAAAATAAATATTTTTGCGAGAGAATTTCGTTACGCTTTGTACGCAATTATTAGATTGGTGTCCAGCCACCCTATCGCTGCATGTCTTTGCACAACTACACTAATGATAATGAAATGGCACTAAGGAAAACCGTTGTTTTTCTGTTTTCCAAACCGTAATTGTTATGGATCCATAATTTTTGCATTAAAATAATTTGGGTAAATCTGAACCACAAAGCGTCCAAAAGATTGCAAAGGTTTCCCTAATGAAAGATAATGATTATGGCGCTGCAGGAATATTTTAGAACCCCAATTAACGAGTTCGTTCTTTGTTTTGTCTCTTTTATTGAATAGGCGGCCTAATGGTGGTCAAATTTTCGAAAACTTCAAAACTTACCGAATATTTTCTTTCAGGATGTGAAGGCTGTGATAACTCACTCCATCCACAGTACGTTAAATTCAATCGGGGGCATACAAGTTTTGTTCCCATTATTTTCGCAACTGGACTTACCATTCGAATGCAATGGTTCATCTGACATCAAGAAAGATTCCGCATTATGGTAAGTGTTTTTTTTAGGACATTAAAACGAATAAACGGCCCCGCGGAAACAACGATTTGAGCATCCGGCGGTCAGCAAATACGCAACTATAAACATAAAGCCAATGATAATAAATTGAAGTTGTTGGCGTGTAAAAATGGCTGCTTGTTGGGCCGTGTTTTATGGCCGGTTTTTTCAAAGCCAAGTGCTGGATGGCGTTCTAGAATAAACGAGCTGCAGAAACGCCACTAAGGGAATGTAGTTTTTTCGGGTTTTGTTTATATTTATTTTTTAAGTACAAACAAAACAGCAGGAGTAGAGTGATTTCCCCCGACGAAGTCTGAGGAATTTTTTGTGCTTCGTACTCACAAGCTTCTGGATGGGTGATTTGCGGGCTAATCCCAATTGAGAGGGTTTTTTCATTTGTAAACTTCTTCCTTCTATGTATTTATTGGTGTATTTTTCAGTACTTTTCTTGTGATTTTCTCTATAGTGATCAGTTTTCTGGGTGTTTTGCAACATTTTTTTTAATGGCATTCGATGTGATTTTGTTAAGAGTTCCTGAGTGATTTTATTTCAACGCTCTCCAAGTCTGTGTGTTGTGGCTTTGGAAAGCCATAAACAAAATTAATAAATGTAAATCCTGTAAATGTGTATCCTGTAAATTCATTCAACAAATTTTACTTTATATTTTTCTCAATTTTTGTGTATGTGACACTCATTTTACTTTTAATATAACTTACAATTTTTTTGCTTTACTTCTGAAACGCTTCAGTGCAAATTCTGAATTTTTTAATGCAAATTTAGTTAAATCGGTTACTATGGTTAGTTTGTCTATGAAATGTTATAATTGTTTCAGTTCGAAACTTTTGGGATTTATTTGCGAACTGGTGGAAACGTCGCAAACCGTACAACAGCACATGATCCAGAATCGTGGATTTCTAGTCATCAGCTTCATGCTGCAAAGATCATCCAGAGATCATCTGACCATCGAAGTTTTGGGATCTTTTTTAAGTTTGACAAAATATCTAGTCACTTGCCTTAGTGCTAATAGCGAGTTGCTGCTTAAGCAGGTGAGATTTATTTAATTAATTTTATTTTGCTACTGCGTGCGTTTTTATTTTCTTTCATTACTCTGTTTTGGTTTGGTACATGTTAACATGCTCGGTATTGAAAGAAATTTAATTTTTGGTTTAGAATCAGTTACTCCAAAAAAAATTTTTGTAGGCTCGCATTTTGCTTTTGTTTGATTTTGGTGTTAATCACTTGCTTTTAATGAAACTTATATCGGTTTTGAATGCGCAATTTTCACGTTCATTAAGATGAATTAATTGAAATTTCCTGTTGTTTTTTTGTGTAATATTTCACTTTTTTAAGTTTCTTCTAATGTTCATTTGACTGTGCAATAAAATATATTTTTTATAAAGTTTACATTGCAAAATGTACATAAGTTTACACTCCATTTAGAGACGCATAAATGATTTTAAAATTTGAAAAGATGCTTAGAACGAAACACCTACAACAATGTTACCACGGTTATATGTTAATTGTACTCGATTTGCTTTTGTATTTAACCCCTGTACTTATCCAAGCATGTTCTTGATTTTTCTTGCCTATTTGAAAGCTTTCTCCATTATTCTTCCAGTCTTTTCTAAGGGTGAAATACTAACTGTTATTGTTGTCGCAGCTCTAAACCATACACTAACTTTAAATTGGCAGTTTTTAAAGAATTTTTCGTCAATACTGGACGCATCAATTAGAGCTGGCTCCTTGCTTATTTCACCATCATTTCTGGGTTATCTTTGTGTCTATGTTCTTGTGCTGTAAACTTCGCTCTTAATGTAACTGTCCAGTGTTTCCAATTAATTGACAATATTTTCGTTATAATCAATGCATTCATGGGTAAGTACGGGGGGCAGTGTTGAATAATCTTAATAAAGTTGTTTTGCATTTCATTTTTGACCTGGCAGCTGTTAGACCATATACTTTTCAATCCTGCCCTGTGGATTTATACGCCAGCTCCAGTCCAGACCCGCCTCTACTCGTATTTGGCCACAGAATTCCTCTCGGACACTCAAATCTACTCCAACGTGCGAAGAGTCTCCACAGTGCTGCAAACCGTTCACACCCTAAAGTACTACTACTGGGTGGTGAATCCGAGATCGAAAAGTGGAATAACGCCCAAAGGACTTGGTAAGCAGCAAATCACATTTTTCTGAATTAATATTGCTGATTGAAGTTTAAGCATTCCATGAAAGTGATGATTAAAACTGGGTTATTTAATTGCAATTTTCGAGTGCTCTTGCTCTGCTTGATGTTACTTCTTTTAGACTTTCCAATTATCCGCCTATTAGTATTCACCTTGTTAAATTTACCTTCGAATATTAAATTTCGCGCCTGCTTGTGCTCGTAACGAAGTAATAATTAAAGTCTTGATTAAATCTGCATGAGTTGGAAAAGATCTTGCTACAATTAGCGCATATTCGCTTTGATACCTGATGGATTATCGATCAGGAAGCTTATGAGCGACAAAAGGTATGAAAGGAACTGTTTATTGAGGCCTGTATTAGATATGATTAATGTGTTTTTTTAATAGTTCCTGAAAAACAGGCTTGTTGGCTGGTTGGCCAAAATGTCAACTTGTTGCCCGCACTAAATTAAAAATAACATTGGAGGAATGAACTGCGGATATGCTTTAAAAAGTGATTTCTCTGTTGAACAGAAGCCGAGCTGTTGGAGTTTGGCAAACTTCATTCGTGAAAATTAATTCAAAATTTACAACTTTCGCTTTTATTGGACTTTATTTTTTATCAACTTATTTCAACCTAGAAGGTTGGCCTGTGCTGTGTAAAAATATATAAATTGAATACATTGGAGTTGCATGAATAATGTGTGTCATACACTAGTGAGTTATGAGAACACTTTTTATTTTTATTTTCTTTAAAGTCCAAGCGCTTATTCTATTTCGCCCTATAGAACTATCTAAATGTCGAGCTTCAGTCTTCCTGAACACCGAATGATTTTTAAGAATTTGCATGGATTGTTGGCTCCCTATGGGATTGCAGAAATTTTTAAAAATTGACTGCGTCGTCTGAAGACAGTCGAGTTCAGATGAAGCTTTTCTTCTTAATCAAGCCATAAGTTTCTTTACTTCGGGTCAATGAAAAGGTCCATATTCAATCCTTCAGCGCAATGAAAACAAAGCTCCTAAACCTAATTGTTCACTAAAAATTGTCGGTGTTTAACAGTTTTCCTTTCGCAGCTACCTACTACTTTTTAAACAGCCTTGAGGATTTCAATTGATGTTTTCAAAAGCCGCTGTTTTCAAACATTAAAATAAAGTCTATCCTAGACACCAGACAAAATAAATTGCAGAGAATTATGACAGGCAACTAATCTACATCTTCAGTTTCTGGCTGCAGCAGATTTGGAGCATTAATGAAAAAAATAGATCAGAACTTTTAAGGAAAATTGTGGTTTCGAATGCGAAAATTTACCAAAATCTGTCCTATGATTCAACTGAAGCGGAACTTTTTTCACTTGCAGTTATGACTAATCTTGCCCTTCAATGGAAATTTCAGGTTTCTCACTGTTTCGCTTTCGCAGCTACGAATTTTTCAATATTACGCTGCAAATGTTCATGAAAAAAAATGCTGTATATCTAGTATACCATTGAAACTCAATTGTAAATAGCGCAGATGTCTTACACGCAACTCTTTTAATCTTTAGTTTGTATTTTCAGTCTATAACTTGCATTGCATTTCAAGCAATAATAAAAAAATAGCTAAGAACTTTAAAATAAACTTGAAATTGAGAAGAAGTCGAATTCTCAAAAACCGCCGGTATATTCAACTGAAGTAAAACTTCTTCCACTCACAGTAATGACTATTCTCGTTCTTCAATGGAAATTTGGAGCTTTTGGATATTTTGCTTTCGAAGATACGAATTTTTGAAATTTGCCGTGCAAATAATAAAAATAATTTTTAAGAAAATCCCTGTTTATTTTTAGTTAAGCAAATTTTATGACAATGTATGGCTTCTTCCTGCTTTATATTCAGTAAATATTTTCAGTTGATAACTTCCCTAAATTTGAAGCAATCATGTTTTCAATGGAGAAACAATTTTGGAGAAAATTGTTATTTTGACTCAAAAAATTACAACTGCGACTATTCTTGTTCTTCAGGAGAAATTCCAAGTTTCCAACAGTATTGCTTTTGAAGCTACGAAGTTTTTACCTTGCAAATTGTAAATAATAATTTAAAAATAATTGCTTTATATCTCTACTGACTCAAATTATCCAGGATTCGTACACGAAAATATTCTTCATCTCGAGTATATTTCCTCATTCTATGACTTCAGTAGATTTGGGGCAACATATTTTTTAAATAGCCATGAACTTAGAAGAAAAAAGTATAGTATTCGATTGAAAAAAATTCGAAAATTCTCATCATGATACAAGGGAAGCAAAAGAACTCCTATTCGCAGTTGGAACAATTCTTTCCCTTCAATGGAAATTTCAGGTTCCTTACTGTTGTGGTTTCGGAGCTACCAATTTTCGAATATAAACGTGCAAGTTGTGAACGATTTTTTGAAGAACTGCTGTATAATTCGAAAGGAACAAAACGCGCCAATTCATACATGCAACTTCTTATTCAGTGAATGACTTCAAGCTGTAAGCTACCTCAGTTGAAAAAATGTCTAAAGTGAATCCCTCTCTGGAAAATAAGCGAGATTTCCAATAAGAAAATTTCCCAAAAATTGCCCAAAATTGTAAAATTTGGAACTAGGAAAAACTAAAAATCAAAGAACTAAACTGGATGTTTGCCCTTATTCGTATAATTCGAATCTAATACTTTTGAATCAATTACGCAAAATTCTCAAAATTGTCTACTCACACTAAGCAGGAGTTTCGTGGCCAAATGATCCTGATCTTCGTTGACAAAATGTTCGCGTAGCTTTAATTTGCTAGAAATTGAGAACATTTTCTGTCCGTGATGCTAAAAAGCTAATACATTTTCCAGATGGTCCCCGGCCAGCTCAAAAGGACATTCTGGCAATTAGGGCGTACATTCTGCTGTTTCTCAAACAGTTGATAATGATCGGGAACGGAGTGAAAGACGACGAACTGCAAAGCGTCCTCAACTATCTAACGACCGTGCACGAGGATGAGAATTTGCACGACGTGCTGCAAATGTTAATCTCCTTGATGTCGGAGCATCCCTCTTGCATGGTGCCTGCTTTTGATATGAAACAGGGTGTGCGAACAATATTCAAGCTGATGGCGATGGACAGCCAGCTGATCCGACTGCAAGCTTTGAAGCTGTTGGGATTTTTTTTGAGCCGAAGCACCCACAAGCGGAAGTACGACGTGATGAGCCCGTATAACTTGTACACGTTGCTCACTGATCGACTGTTGCTCAATGAAGAGTCGCTTTCCTTGCCCACCTACAACGTGCTCTATGAGATCATGACTGAACACATCAGCCAGCAGATTCTTTACACCAGACATCCGGAACCCGAGTCGCATTTCAGGCTGGAGAACCCTAGTAAGTTCGTCTAGTTAAGCAACTTCCCTGTTAATAAAACGTTTATTTTTTAGTGATTCTCAAAGTGGTTGCCACTCTAGTGCGTCAATCCAAACAGACCGATCAGCTGCTGGAGGTGAAGAAACTGTTTCTGTCCGACATGACTTTGTTGTGCAACAACAATCGCGAGAATCGACGGACGGTCCTGCAGATGTCCGTTTGGCAGGAATGGCTGATAGCGATGGCTTATATTCATCCTCAAAACACCGAAGAGCAAAAACTATCCGATATGGTTTATGCATTGTTTCGGATGCTACTGCATCATGCCATCAAGTACGAGTACGGAGGCTGGCGAGTTTGGGTCGATACTTTGGCAATTGTCCATTCGAAGGTAAATATTTCAACAGCAAAAATGCGGCGGAAATTCCTTGGGCAGACATTGATCGATAGATGCAAGCACACTGAATAGCTTATATTTTTTTCGGTCATTTCTAAGCAGAAAACGAGAAAAGCTCTACAATTGTTCAGTAGCCAATTAAGTAGGCACTAATTGGCTTTGTAAGCCTGGGAATGTTTCATCATATTTTTTCGCTTTGGCATGACTGAAGTTGCAACAGCGAGCTATTTTTTAAAAATTGTAGAGAGCAATTTAAAAGCAGTAGCCACTTGTTAATTAGCTGATTGAATTCAACAAACTTGACTATAAAACTGGAAATTGGGTCTAATTAGGTGATTTTGCCCAAAGGTGTATGTACTGAATTCTGAAGTTCTTGATCAACTAGACACTTGTTCGATATCTCACTAAAGAGAGAAATTTTGGATCTAAAACTCGAAAAATTGCTACTAATATCGGAAATTGACCAGTGTGTACAACTTGCATCTTAGACGCAAAGGAGGATTAAATTTCAAAAATTTGTTGCTAAAATGTGAGGAAAGACAGACACTTGTTCGGAATCTTAGTAAAGAGAGCAAATTCAGCTTATTAATCGGGAAATTGTTACTAATTTTGTGATTATGCACGCGAAAAATCAAAATTTTTCAAATGAGACAATAAAAAAGCTAGGCACTTGCAGGAAAGCTTCCTAAAGAGGGACAATGTGGCCCTATACGTAGATAAATTGATAGTAATTTTGGCAAATTTTTCAAAGTCTGAACGTGTTAAAAACTGACACGGTAAGTCAAGCGAGACGCAATAGACGCATTTTCAAAAATGTGCTGCTCCAAACCAAGAAGAGGCAAAAATTTGCTCGGAAGTTCGTTGAATAGACCAAACTTAGGTCTATAAACTGGTAAATTGTTACTGGTTTGGTAATTCTTCCAGACTTTTTGCGCATTGAATACTAAAGCCACAAATCAGTGAATCAGATAAATAATTTAAAAAATGAATCAATAGAATACATTAAAAAGCTGAACACTTCCAAGGGCGAGAAATTAGCTGGTGAAATAGAAATGGGTCCCTGGCCCCATAAAGGCAGAAATATATGGTAATTTTGGCAATTTTTTCCAAAGTTTAAGTAGATTGAAAACTGAAGCTGTTGAGTTGGCAACGAATTATCTAAAAACAATTCGTTGCTAAAAGACGGAAAAAGAGAGACACTTGTTTGGTATCTCTTTGGATAGAGCGAACTTTGGTCTATAAAACGATAAATCGTTCTTCATTTGAAAATTTTACCGGATTTTGTGCACATTAAATACTGAACAAATAAATGGACTCGGATCCAGCAGTAGTAATTTTTAAAAAATCATTAATGGAATACCAACAACTAGATACCGGCAGGATCGCTTATTAAATAGGCTCCAGAAATAAGAAAGTTGATAGTAATTTTGAAGAGCTTTTAAAAATTTCAACCCAACTTCAAGTCGCTAAAAAAATCTAAATTTCCAATAGACAGTTATTTTCAAAAATTCCTAACTAGGAAACACAGCACGCCAAACCCAAGAGGTAATTAAACTAATGGGTTTTTCGGGTTTTTAGGCCGTCGTTCGTTAGAATTTATTCTTGACGTTTCGCAAGCACGTGTGGCTTGCATCTTCAGAAGTGGTTTGCTTGAACGTTTACACTGTTCTCATCAGAACCCGTTTAGTTCTTCCGCAGAACTATTCTACAAACAAAAAAACAAACAAATTCTACCGAACGACGGCCTAAAAACCCGAAATACCCATAAGTTTCAAGGAATGGCCTCGGAAGTCTATCCCCCAATTCCTTGGATAGAGAAGGAATGGCTCAATAAGTCCCTAAAATATTACAGCTTTGGAATTTTTTGCCGATTTTTGTCGCATTGAAAATCTACATCAAATCAAAATCTACTAGAAGCCAATAGATTAAGCATTGAAAATGTCCTTATCGAGAATCAGAAAAACTTGATATCCATTCCGTAGCCAATTACATAGAGCACGTGTAGCTTTTTAAATGTTTAAATGCCAAAAGTTTCATTTATTTTAATACGAATTTGCACGTTTTCTTCAGTTTTGTGACCGCAGACGCCACAGATATTTCGTTTGCAAACATCTTCAAAGCTGAACATTTTGTAATGGACCAGGAAATACGAAAAACTCGAATATATGAACAGGAAAATTGGTCTTAAAAAGCGCTTGCTGTTGAACTTATAACGCACTGAAAACTGAGGTGGTAAAGTGGCATCTGTAAACGTTGAAAATATTAGCGATCTCCTAACTTTGGTCAACTTTTTAGGCATTTGCTGTTTAAAATCTGAAAGGTTTAATGTTTTTTCAGGTTTCATACGAGGAATTCAAGCTGCAATTCTCCCAAGTCTACGAACACTACGAGCGGCACAGAGCGGACGAAATAACCGATCCTCTTTTAAGACAACAACACCCGATAAGTACAATTTCCGGTTGGCACGGCCAGCCGCAAAACGTGCACAATGGATGTCGGCCTGAGGAAGAATCGTGGCACAATCGTCGGCCGATCATCCAGGAAATCGAGCTCAATGAAAATGACAAAAGCGAGCAGGTCTGCAGCTGCGACTATAACTCGACAATGTCCGAAGGCAGTCCAGTCTCGTACATAGCGAAACACGAGGACAGTGAAGGTGTTTCGCTGGATTCCAGGACTAGTGATTTGTTCAGTGATAATAAAGTCGACAAAGAGTCGCCGTTTTCTCAGGGTTCGCCAATCGGGGAAGACCGGTCGGCCAACTCCCCGATATGTAACGGAGTCCATACGGGCAGCAGCACCAGCTTTGGGAGTCCAGCGCGTGTGGTGTTTAATGAAGCTCAGCAAAAGAATCAATTTATTGAGGAAATCGTGCAGGAAATTCTGTCAAAGTCGGAAAAACTGCTGGACTTGCAGGAGGAGAACGTGGTTTGCTCAAATGGGCCGAATCCCGAGAACCAAACCGAGCTTAATGCCAAAAACGGCGAAGCCTCGGTGATCACTGGGTCGGTTGCACTCAGCCCCGTTAGGAGTGTTGACAAAGAGGTCATCGACAGTGAGTCTGAACGGTATCTTACACCTACTGAGGATTTAACCGAGAAAAAGGACACTTTTCTGGACAGCAGGGATGAAAGTGAACCAGCCAAATCAGGCGATGATAAGTGCGCGGCGGACAATAGTGGTGATAGTTGCGAAAATGTGTCGCCTGCACCAGTGACGTTAAATGAAGAAGGTCAGGGCGACGTAGGTGATAAACATAGCGTTAGTGATAATAATAAATCTAATTATGTGCCAATTGTTGAAAACAGTGCTGTGTCAGTAGAAATAGAGCCGTCCAACCAAACCAATTCTAGTCTAGATGCAATCGACCTTCCAGTCAGTGATAATGTTGAGTTCAGCGCAACCGATGAAGGCACAACAACAACAGCAACAGCAACTGGAACACAACAAGTGCCTGCCGTTGAAAAAATTCCAACGATTTCGCAATTCTGTGATCCTAGCTATTCTACTACTAATACCGATGTTATTGTTGATAATGTTAATACTAAAACAGACCTTGTTGTTTCTGACGATCCGAACGATCAGCCTCCATCGGAAGTGAGGCGAAGAGTCAGTCTGCCGACCAATCACATTGAGGCCCCAGCTGACGATCTTTCCAGTAATTCACATGTGCCTCAAGCTTCACCTCAAAGACGTCCGAGAAGTGCATCGATTTCTACCCAAGTGGATTCCAATCAATTTGGTAGGCAAAATACAGTAACTGATTTGCGTAGCAATTCTATAACTGAACCATGTTTTTCAGAACTAAAAGCGTCGAAATCGGATTCTTCATCAGCGCGGCCCATGTTTAGTCCAGGTCCCACAAGACCGCCGTTCCGAATACCCGAATTCAAATGGTCGTACATCCATCAACGACTGCTTTCGGATGTGCTTTTTTCGCTGGAAACGGACATCCAGGTGTGGCGCAGCCACTCCACAAAATCCGTTCTGGATTTCGTCAATAGCAGCGACAATGCCATCTTCGTCGTTAATACTGTCCATCTAATATCGCAGCTGGTGGACAACTTAATCATAGCATGTGGCGGACTTTTGCCGCTTTTAGCCTCAGCAACTTCACCAAATGTAAGGCTAACTTGAACAACTCGAACTTGTAACTGACTTGGAGCTGCTTTTAGAATGAACTAGATGTAATCGAGCCCACTCAAGGAATGCCCATTGAGGTGGCTGTGAGCTTCTTGCAGCGCTTAGTTAACATGGCCGATGTGCTGATCTTTGCCAGTTCGCTCAACTTTGGTGAACTAGAGGCCGAAAAGAACATGTCCAGCGGAGGAATTTTGCGCCAGTGCCTAAGGCTGGTGCGTAGACTTAATCACTTTATCCAGCAGTTATATTTTTTTCTCGCATATATTTTTTAAATCATCTGCATAAGTAGACTGTTTCGCTTATAGTTGGTACCATTTACTTTGGTTGTTTGTGAACGTTGTGTGGCCTATTAGGTGTGCACTTGTGCAGTTCGAAATTGCCTGGAGTGTAAAGAACGAAGCCGGACCAACCACGCTATTGCACCATCCTCATTAAACACCAATCACAAGGCTGCCCACTTGCAATCGTTTATCAGAGGAGTCCAAAACTCCCCTAAGGTATGATTTATTCACGTCTGCTCTTAGTTCATTGTTAAATAACGAGAAACTGGCCGGCTTTTGCAGAATATGGCGGACAATCTGGCAAGTCAATCCAGTCCGGTGAAAGATCCAGAAAAACTCCTGCAGGACATGGACGTAAATCGCCTAAGGGCTGTAATCTACCGGGATGTGGTAACGTATTGCTTTTACCGGTTTTGCCTCGTTTTGCAGTTATTGCTTTATAGGAGGAAACCAAGCAGGCCCAATTCCTGTCGCTGGCTATTGTGTATTTTATCTCCGTTCTGATGGTGTCCAAATATCGGGATATTCTGGAACCGCCCGTTTCCATAACGGTTCCCAGCCCGGTGCCAGTTCGGAGCAATGGAACATCTCATCATTCCGAAAGCCCCCAAGGTGAGCCTCTTTCCTCAAATAACTCTTGCGTGTTTGGGAAATTTTGTACCATTTTGATGAGTTTGGATATTTTAATTCAGATTCATTAGATTCAATTAATGTTAAGTATTCCTTGGTTTACACGCCAAAGGATAACATGCTTAAAATTGGACTTAAGTGGCTTTTCACGAACGTTTACATCAAACTAAAAAGGACATAGTAAACATCACCCTTCACATTCACGCATTTTCGTAATCATTTGACAAAAGTAGATGATAGTTCGCTTTTCATAGTTAATAAGTATAGGAAAACGCTATAAGAACAACCATTTAGGTACTTGTGGGTTTAAATGAAGGTATAGAAGAGGCGAATTTTCCGGTTTTATTCCGAACTGTCTCGCAAAAAACGGTTTTTTTCTTTTAATATTCAACATTTTATGTATTGGACAGGCGTGGGAAGCGAGTTTTGAAATTTTACACCAAACTCATTTTAGGAACAGCTTTATTGACAAAAGGGAATTTGATAATGGAAAATGGAAATATTTTTAATCTTCAATCGGCAATTGCTAAAAAATAGCACAGAAAAGTTTTTGGGAGTTAAAGATGATGGATACTTCAGTCCGATGAGGAAAGGGAATTAATTTACCGCTGAAACCAAAACAGCACTCATTTCTTCATTTGCTTTCCACGCTTTTATTTCAAATGTTTCATAGTTAATTTCTTACAAAATATGTTTGAGAGTTTTCAACAGTTACTGAAATAATAATATTTCTAGAAAATACTCTGAGACCGATGTGGGTAGCGAGATTTTTTAATTTCAGACTAAGCTCAACTAAGGCATAATTTGATTAAAAAGCAGCAAATTTATGTTTTCAAAAGCGAATATTGTTAATTAACTCCCTTTAGAAAACCGTCTAAAGTAGCAAATAATGCGTAATGAAAGGCTCTAGACATTTAACATACCATCAGGCCGAGAGAAGCAAATGTTTTAAAGTTACTCCGAACTTAGAATGAAGCGAAATTTAAAATTTACTGCCAAGTTTTGTATCATACGTAGTGCCACATGAACCGCAGTAAATATTATAAAAAGGATTTATTAAAATATATGCTACGGATTAAAGTAGCAACAACGCTACACATAGAAACTGATGATGGTGGAAAACACCGAAACGTATTTTAATTGATAAATAGACAATAAATGAGTGAAGCCCAGGAATTGATTTTGATTTGGAATTGAAACACAGTCAGGAAAGTATGTAAAATTATAAAAAAGGCGAAACGACAAATCTTTAAATTTCTGGGAAATTTTTAAATATTAGACAGACGTGCGAAGCGAGTTTTCTAATTCGGTGTCAAACTTAGTGGGAGTAACATTCCGTTAAGAATAGTGAAAATCTGCTTTAAAATGCGAAGGCTGTGGACCTAAAACCGCTCAAAACCTAAAAAATTGGCATTATGCAAAACTAGTCGTTCGTAGTTTAAAATAACATTTTAAACTGATAAGGGAAACGAGTTTTTAATAGCGAGCTTCACTCAGTCGAACCCAAATTTCAGGTGTCCTGCAAACACAGAGTTTCATATCAAAAGGACTTTGAAATTTGCGAAATGGTTCTGAAATCTTCACCATTGTGAGAAACAAACAAATTTTAACCCGACCTGGAAGCAAATTTGTTAATTTACGATGAAACTTTACTGCAATCCAATTTGATCAACAAATTTTTGTTTAAACCATCAAAGTATGTTTAGCATCAACTGCTGAACTTTCGCCAGAAACATGAGATACTGCGAAACAATCGATAAATTTTCAAGCGGCTGATCGAAGCGAGTTTTCCAAACTTCGAACAACTGCAACGAAGATGAACCGAAATGTTGCTGTTTCGAGCAAAAATATACAGTTTCTAGGCAGATTTCTTCAGCTTACTTAAATCGCATAATTTTTAATGATCATTTCTTAATTTTTAATATCAGACTGATAAGGGAGTTTTATAACTCTGACAACATTTTATTTGAGCACAGAGCAAGTTGTTCTCAAGGCATTAAAAATTCGTGTTACAAGTGAAAAATATTATTAATTTGCATCAATTTTATTGGTGAAAAATGAGTAATATTTTTCCATTGAACTGTTAACAATCAGTCACTAAAAGACTGAAAAAAATTTAAAGGCTTAAATAGGGTTACAGTCACAAAGATGAGGGAGCCGAGTATTCAATTTGCTATATCAAATTTTATAGCCCTACTTTGCTTAGTAGGAAAACTCCCAAATATTTATCCGTTGTCAATCAACTCTTTGGTCAGTAGCTAGAAGGGAGTGCGCTACCTCTATTCCCTCAATCGTCCCACCATGTCTATCCGCGATTTTATTTTAGTTTTTCGGTTTTATTCCGAACTGTCTGGCGAAAAACGAAGTTCAAACATCTTTATTCAAAAAAGGCAAATATTTTTCTTGGCGGTAAAGATAACTTCAGTCCGACGAGTAAAGCGAATTTTTAATTTAACGCTGAACCCAAAACAGCACACATTTCTTCATTTCTTTCCACGCTTTTATTTCAAATGTTTCATTGTTCGCTACTTACAAAATATGTTTGAAAGTTTTTAACAGTTACTGAAATAATCATATTTCTAGGAAATACTATGAGACCGATGTGGGCTGCGAGTTTTTTAATTTCAGACTAGGCTCATCTAAGGTATCATTTGATTGAAAAACAGCAAATTTCTGTTTTCGAAAGGGAATATTGTCGATTATCTGCCCTTAGAAAAACGTCGAATGTAGCAAATAATGCGTAATGAAAGGCTCTAGAAAGATAATATACCCGCAGGCCGAGAGGAGAAGCGAATTTTTTAAATTTACTCCGAAATTAGAATCAAACGAAATTTAAAATTTACTGCCAAGTTTTTTATGATACGTGGCTCCACATGAACTACAGTAAATATTATAAAAAGGGCCAAGTGACAAATCTTTAAATTTCTCGGAAGCTTTTAAATATCAGACAGACGTGTGAAGCGAGTTTTCCAATTCGGTGTCAAACTCAGTGGGAGTAACATTCGATTAGGACTGGTGAAAATCTCCTTTAACAAGACCTGAAACTGCTCAAAGCAAAAATTGGAATTACGCAAAACTGGTCATTCTTAGTTTAAAATAATGTTTTAAACTGATAACGGAAACGGGTTTTTTAATAGCGGGCTTCACTCAATCAGACCCAAATTTCAGGTGTCCTACAAACAGCAGAGTTTCATATTAAAAGGACTTTGAAATTTGCGAAATGGTTCTGAAATCATCACGATTCTCAGAAGCAAACAAATTTTAACTGTACGTGAAAAGCAAATTTGCAAATTTGGCATCAAACTTGAACGCAATCCAATTTGATCAGCAAATTTTTGTTTAAACCATGAAAAAATGATTAGCATTAACTGCTGAACTGTCGACAGAAACAGCAGATGATGCGAAACAATTGATAAATTTTCAGACGGCTGATCGGAGCGAATTTTCCAAACTTCGACCAACTGCAACAAAGATAAACCGAAATGTTGACGGTTCGAGCGAAAATATAGAGTTTCTAAGCTAAAGCTATGTTAAAGAATCTTGTCACAGCTTACTGAAATCGCACAATTGTTAACTATAATTTTTGTTTTTTTAATATCAGACGGATAAGGAATGCGAGTTTTCTAACTGGCAAAATTTAAAAAAATGAGTGAGTTATCCACTTATCCAAGGGCTTTAAAACGGGTTACAGTCGGACAGATGAGGAAAACGAGTTTTCAAACTGCCATATAAAATTTTATAGTGCTACTTTGCTTAGTAGGAAAAATCCCAAAGACTTATGCGTTCTAGATCAACTCTATGGTCCGTAGCTATGCGACATTATGAGAACTTTAACCATTAAATCGCACATTTTCCATCTAGCTGCATGCTTCGTCTGATACCGATATTTAATAGGAAAATTCGTCTTTAATTGCACACTAACGAAAACTTTAGTTTTCTGGAAATAACCAACTTTTTTAGTAACGCAATGTCATTTTAATATTCACTGTTTTTTCCTCTTACTAACATGCAGAAGGGAGTGCGCGACCTCTATTCCCTCAATGGTCCCACCATGTCTATCCGCAATTTTTACCCGGCTCCCATCCGAATGCGGTTTCGCACACCAACTACATGCGCCACCGGCACCATTCCTATCCCAAACATAACCATTACAACTTGAACAATAACCATCATTCCCATTACCACAACCACAAAATCGACCATCGGTACCATCGAAATTCCTTGGGTACTCGAACAGGTAATTTACTACTACAATTGAATTTTTCTGCTCCATTTTTTTTGCTCGAGATTCGTCTCCTGTTTTGTAAGAGTATCAGTAAGTAAAAGCCCACTAACTATGGACAATGTTTGGCTTTTTGCTTACCAAATAGGAGACTGTTTACGTTTTGTTGATTTGCTCGCACGCTTTTCACTCATTTTTTTAATGCTCTGATTCTACCCTTAGAACAGGGTGGTTTTGCCAACTAACTGAATGTTTAATTTCAAAGTTCGCGCACTTTCGCCCAGCTTCCAGCATGAACAAGTAGCCTAAGAATTTTTGATGCAGCTTAAGCACTAGCATTGTTTCCTATACATTTGATATGAGGATCACATACTTGGATTCCAAAATCTTTTCTCCGTAGAATCGAGAGCTTTACATCATCAGCCTCAAGATGACGCAGATTACGATGTTATCACAGCATACGTTATGGAGGACGCAAACTCACTCCATCGCGAGAATGAGCTCCATTCCGGCCCAGCCTCCATCAAGGTAAATACATCATTTTTTGTTGTCCGGGTGTTTTGAATAGAGTGGTTTAGGCATCATAGAAAGATTTATTTTTGAAATTGATGTTGGCATTTTGGACAGTTTTACCGCACTGCGCAGCGCCAAGCACCAACCTAGCGTGTATATACTTGAGAGGTTTTTAACAGTTTGTTATTGAACTAGTTTAGGAATCTGCAATTATTTGAGTTCATGTTTGCCAACCAGAAGTTTCCAATCATCCTCTATATTTTTATTAATGTTTAAGCCTACTCGATTAGAACTGGGTGTGTCACTTTAATTAGTTTGCCAACTTTTTGCTTGTGGAGAAATATTCATTCGTGTATATATTTTATGTTCGTATTTGTAAATATCCGATTGGAATTTTTTGGCTTTTCGAAAGTAATTGAACGTTTTATTAGCAGTTTGTCTGACTTTTTATTAAACAGTTTAGTAGGGTAATTTTCGAGATGGGCAACTTGACAATTGGAAATTTTCAACCCGAAATGAATTTTGCTTTTAACTAAAAAAACTGGTTCTCATTTAGTGCAACCTGGTGATAGATTAAAATTTAATTTCTGGTCATTGTTTCATAATCGATCTTTTTCCATAACCGCTAAACTAACTTTGGTCTTGCTTTGCTGTGGTGGCGTTTCCTAAACAGATAAACGCTAGGCAGCGTCCCTCTTTGGGACATGGGTTTACTGTAGATTACTCTTTGGATGGAATAAGGCATGCTCGAGGTTGTAACAGTGCTCATGTTGTTAAGAAGGTAATGGATGCATTTTTGCCACATCCGATTGATCATCCGAAATGTTAACTGCTCCTATTATGCATTTCAAAAACGTTCTTTTGGATGATTGGTCGGTTTTATTTATACAAACTCATATTAGAAATAACTGCTTAGTTTTTGTGTCGAATGATCCTGTAATCAGTATATTCAGTAAGGTACTGGAGATTTCGACAAAGTTATTAGCTGTAAATAGTTATGAGTGTTTGAAAAACCCACTGCATAATATTCGTAAGTCGTTCTTTGCGGATTAGTAGATTGATATGATGTGGCTTATTAAGAAGTTTCTGTTATTTTGTTACGCAATTTTATTGCTCTCAACAGGCTTATGTTGAACGTTCCGTGTTTTCGCTTGTTTTTCTTTTCTAATTCTTACTTTTTAAAAAACATTCTTACTTTTTTGTTTATATAGGCTGTATTAATTACTCTATTTTTTGTTTTTAAGTTTTTCCTGTCATTTATATTCACGTATTTCCAGTTGGAAAGTGTTTTCACTCAATTTCTCCGGTTAGCTCAGCGTCGTTTTGTATTCTACTAGTTTGCTTTGTCATTCATAGACAGTTTTCTCATATTTTTCGTTTCTTTATGCCTCATTTAATGCATACTGAATGTTTTTAATTTAAATCCTCTCTAAATTTCTATTCTGCTTTCAATAAACGAAAGGGAAAAGAAAACTCGGCAAGCTGCTGCTCAAATTTCAGCGACTCGCGAGCGAAGATGCGAAATTTGAGCTTTTATCTCATACTGAGAACCAGAGCTTTACAGCTCAACTGGTTCTCTAAATATGAACCAAAACCCTTGAGCGATTTTCAAGACCCGCCTTTGTCTCGAATTCTTGCATTATGCAAGAAAACTAGAAACATTTCTATAATAATGTTTAAGGTAAAAACGTGCGAAATTTAAGATCTTTATCTAATAACTCTATCTCGCAGTCACAAGTAAAGCTTTTCAGCTCAACTGGTTCTCTAAATATGAACCAAAGACTAAAAGCGGCTTGCAAAACCTGCATTAATTGAGAAGTTTTGCAGTTTACGTGAGAACTAGAAGAATTTTTAGAAAGATGTTCCGTACAAAAAGGTCCGCAATTTAACGCTGTATCTGGCACTAAAAGCTAGAGCTTCGTAGCTCATCCGGTTCTATCTAGATCTAGATCCGCGCCAACGCATAAGAGCGGTTCAAAAAACTCGCACTAATTTTGAATTTTTGCAGTTTGCGTTAAAACTGGAAGAATTTCGAAAATGATGTTGGTTCCAAAAAAAGTATGCAATTTAGCGCTCTATTTGGCAAAAAACCTAGGACTTTATAGCTCAAGCGGTTCGTTGGATACGAGCCAACGAATAAGAGCTGTTCAGACCGCATGAATTTCTAATTTTTGCATTTTGCGTGAAAACCAGAAATATTTGCAAAACGACGATTTACATCGGAAAATGCGGAATTTAAGGCTTTATCCTGCAGTGGCAACTACAGCTTTACACCTCAACTGGTTCTCTAAATATGAGCCGAAGGCTAAGAGCGGTTTTCAAAACCCGCATTAATTTCTAATTTTTTAATTTTGCCTGAAAACCAGACCTATTTGTAAAACGACGTTTTATAGCAGAAAATTGGGAATTTAAGGCTCTATCCTGCAGTGGTAACTACGGGTTTACACGTAAACTAGTTCTCTAAATATGAGCCAAAGGCTAAGAGCGGTTTTCAAAACCCGCATTAATTTCAAATTCGTGCATTTTGCGTACAAACTAGAAAGTTCCTAACGGGATGTTTTACGTAAAAAAGTGTGCAATTTAAGGCTATATCCTGCAGTTACAACTATAGCTTTACAGCTTAACTGATTCTCTAAAAATGAAACAAATACTAGGAGCGGTTTTCAAAATCCACGTTAATTTAGAATTTTTCAATTTTGCGTGAAAACTAGAAACGTTTGTTTCAAAAATCATGTTTTATTTAAAAACAAGATGCGCGATTTAGGACTCTATCCTGCAGTTACAACAACGCTAAGAGCGGAGTTCAAACCCCCATTAATTTCAAATTCTTTCATTTTGCGAGAAAACTAAAAACGTTCCTAAAATGATATTTTATGTATAAAAACGCAATGTAAAGCTCTATCCTGTATTTGCAACTAGAGCTTTACAACTGAACTAGTTCGCTAAGTATGAGCCGAAGCCTAAAAGCGGTTTTCAAAACCCGCATTAATTTCGGATGTTTTAATTTTGCGTGAAAACTGGAGAGATTTAGAAAATGATGTTTAACATAAAATAGTGCGCAATTTAACAATCTATCGAGCAGTGAGCAGTTGAGCAGCAGCACTAGAGCTGTGCAGCTCAACTGGTTCTCGAAATATGAGCCAAAGGCTAAGAGCAAAAAGTGCAAATAGGGGCCGGTCCTACAACAACATAGGCTGTTCATAGGCTTCTTCGGGTTATTTGTGTATTGGGTTCTTCAAGCTCAAACTTGAGTGATTGTGCATGGCTGCGCATGTTTAACGCAGGCGATTTGTTAAAAGTGAGTTATTCAAGCTATCAACAACTTCCTTTAAAGAAGCTGCTTTAATAACTCGGTTGATAATACAGAGTACGGATTCTTTGGACGATGTGAACTCGGTCAATTCAGCTGATACCAACAATGCCAGCTCCAACGCTGAGATGCAAGAGGACAACAAAATAATGACTAATGACGAAAACTGGACAGACATCAATTTGAACGAAGACGACACTCACAAGGAAGACAGTCGCAACGCTGAGAACAACTCGCATTCCCAAGGGCTCGATTTGGAAGGGAACATTGAAAGCCCAACATCAGATAGAGGTAATGTTGAAGAAAATCCACTGTGCAATTAATCAAACGGATTTTTGTAGGTGAGAAGCATTTGGGGGAAATATCCGTGGTGCGCGTCCCCGAAAACCTAATGCAACCATCCGCAGCTCAAGTGAGACCCGATGAGCTTCCAGTAAGCAATCTGGTGGATCACATCTCGCTGCCCACACCTTCAAGGGAAGCCTCTCTCACTCAGAAGCTGGAAATGGCTTTGGGCTCAGTATGTCCGCTTCTTCGGGAAATTATGGTGGATTTTGCGCCGTTCTTGTCGAAAACCCTGGTGGGGTCGCATGGACAAGAACTGCTAATGGAAGGCAAAGGTCTAACTACGTTCAAGAACAGCACATCTGTAGTGGAACTAGTGATGCTGCTGTGCTCGCAGGAATGGCAAAATTCCCTGCAAAAACACGCCGGTCTGGCCTTTATTGAGCTGATCAACGAGGGCAGATTGTTGTCTCATGCCATGAAGGATCATATTGTGAGAGTGGCCAACGAAGCCGACTTTATCCTGAATAGGATGCGTGCTGATGATGTTCTAAAGCACGCCGACTTTGAGGTAACCGCACGCAAATTGCTCATTTAATTGAGTGAATATTTGGTAAAATTCCAGACTCAATGTGCGCAAACATTGCTGGATCGAAAGGAGGAAGAGAGAATGTGCGACCATCTCATCACCTCCGCCAGGCGTAGGGACAACGTAACAGCCTGTAGACTGCTGGAGAAAGTGCGCAACATCATGTCGAATAAACACGGGGCCTGGGGATCTTTGGATCCGAACGAGTACAGATTGACGGAGTTTTGGAAACTGGATGCTTGGGAGGACGATGCCAGGCGGAGGAAACGTTTCGTCCATAATCCGCTGGGCACAACGCATCCAGAGGCCAGTTTGAAGGCAGCTATTGAACACGGAGCGCCTGAGGACGCAATCCTTCAGGCAAGAGAGGAGTTTCATGCACATCTGGCTACATCGAGAAACCACCAGCAAAATCAGATCAGCGAGCTGGTGGATGATAGCGAGCTGTTGAATGACGATAGAGAGCTGGATAGCGATCTTAATGGTAAGGGTGCACCAACTAGCATTATGACTGGAAATGGTCACTAAAACTTAATTTTCCAGGACCGATCAACATCAGTACCAAAGCCAAGCTGGTAGCGCCTGGAATCGTCGCTCCTGGAATAGTTTCGGTTACATCTGCGGAACTGTACTTTGAGGTGGATGAGGACGACGAAGAATTCAAGAAGATTGACTGTGAGGTAAGTTTCAAAAATGTGAATATCGAAGGTTTTTAATAGCTGTGAGCTCACGTCAATGAAATTTATTCGCACCTAAAAGCCAATTTAGTTCAATGAACTGAAGAAAAAACTTGTAAAATATACCCGACCAACATACTCCCACTGGAGTCTTTTTATGGCCGTGGCACAATCAGCGAGTAGGACTTTATTGTTTTATATGGGTCTGATAGTCGAAATGGAAATGTGTCTTGAATGCGGTTTTTAAGTTGTTTTTTGTGTTTGATTATTTGATTGCGATTTTATGACTCGTTGGTCTCGCGCTTCAAATTTCGCACACTATTATGCTGGTCACGAAATAATCAGTTCGTCCACCAGTCTGAATTACTCAAAGGAAAATTTATGTATTTTATTTTCATTTTTATTGAAGTTTGAGGCGAACGACCGATTTGATTGAGTTTCATATACAGGCTGGTATTTTAGAACAATCACCGCATTTGAAATACTTTAAATGTAAGCAAAACGAGCCGCAAAATCCACTCTATTCATGGGTTTGAAACTGTTTCCCTTATAGTTGCCACAGCGCTTTATAGGGCGTTTTAAAAAACAACTAACTGTATATTAGAGCTGAATAACCGACTAACAAATTAAAGAACATCACTCGACTTTGGGGTGACTGGTTGAAAAGTTATTAATTTTTAAAGATGACGAAAATTGCAAGTGTTTTTGTCGAATGCATCAGTTCTATGCCATTTTCATCGGAAGGGAACAAAGAGGAGCTTATTCCACATTGAGCGCAAAAACACACATAAAAAGTAGATTTTGACTAAAATAATCGAAAACTTACATACTTTATACAGGGTGATTCACAACCTTATGGACACAGAGCAGGAGCGTGTATATGACCACAAAACAAGTGGAGTTTCCATTTAAGTTTTTTTTTTCTCAGGCCCAGGGTTAACGAGATACAGGGTGTTAAAGTTTCAAAAAAATGTTGGTATTTTCTATTTAACTCCCACAATTTATAAGTTGAGTTTCTTGACCGATATCAACTAATAGCAGGATGGTTGATTTTTCTTGGGATTTCGGTCTGGTCTTTTTTTTCACCACTGCCCAGACCGAATTCCCAAGAAAAATCAACCATCCTACAGTTTATGAGATATTTTGCTAAAATTTTTAACGTAGGCTCATGTAGACCCTTTGCCTGTAGGTATGGCAACTAGTTGTGAAAATATACAGTGTGTTCTTTTTTCTAGAGGCATACCCCCTTTTACCCCCCGAACTTTTTTGTGGTGCGTCACTGATTTCGACCGAACAAATTTTCTGATGTCTTACAATTTTTTCGCATCTGTCTTCGTTTTCGAGTTATTTGCACAAATATAAGGCCATGTAGGGGTCCTGGGTGATTTTCCATGAATTTTTTTGCGTCTTTTTGTTCAAATTTTTTGTATAAGAAATTAATTTTATAATTAATTGAAATATTTGTTACATTCTTGTATATTTTTATTTGGATTAGTTTACAGCCGATAAACCTCAATTATTGTAAATTAAATTAAAATAAATTTTAAAGTTGACTCTAGTCAGCCATCCCTATTTTAACTTCAACTTCCACTTGAAGCTTTCACAGAAAAATGTGAACAAAAGAACACAAACAAATATATAAAAAAATTCTTAGAAAACCACCCAGAAACCCTACATGGACTCTAATTTGTGCAAATTACTGGAAAACGAAGGAAGGTTCGAAAAAACTGCAAGAGATAAATAAATTCTTTCATTAAACCATAAATTAAAAAATTTGTTCGGTCGAAGTCAGTGGCGTACCGCAAAAAGGTTTGGGGGGATAAAAGAGAGTATGCCTCTTAGAAAAGAACACCCTGTAGATTTTAACAACCAGTTGGATTACCTGCGGGTATAAGGTCTAAACATTAACCCACGTTAAATATTTGAGCAAAATATCTCATCAACTGTAGAAGTTAAAGAGAAAATACCAAAAATTTTTTGAAACTTTAAAACCCTGTATCACGTTAACCATGGGCCTGAGACAAAAACTCGATTTGTTTAAAGGTTCTCTACACGCCCCTGTTCTGTGTCCATAAGGTTGTGAATCACCCTGTATAAAGTATGTGAGCGCTACTTTTTATGTCAAATGGTTTTTCCTCCTCCTCATCTAACGTTTTCTTAGACCGTCTTTCCAAGTGCTGATTTTTAGTTGTTTGAGCAGCAGAATTCAATCTTCTGGGTTTGAGAGTCCCCAGTTGTTGTCTTCTAAAGCTGGGTTTTCTTTGTGGATTGGAGCTGTTTATTTATCTTGTAATGCTGAGCTTTCGCTCTGTTGTCTCTGATTGCAACCGTTTTCGTCCTGTATTGGATTGTTTTTGCATTTTCTCGTTTCCTTCTGTGTTTGTATTTGATGAGTTTCTATTTTGGGCTTTGATTGTTTTAAGAAAATTTTATTTTATTCTCTCGAGTATTTTGAGTACGTTGTTCATTCTCCATTCTGTTTTCAGTTGCTTCTCAACATTTCCCAGATTATTGTTTCGGGGTTTTTCTGGTCTTAAATAAAATGGTCCTCGATATGTATAAATAAATAAATATATGTCTTAATCTGTAAAGTAACTATGCTCTTCAGTTTGGAGGGAGTTTTCTTGTCTTTTCTCCTCTAGTTTATTGGTCGCCCATGTTTTTCTTTATAGGTTTGCCTGCTTTCAGGAATTCTTAGTTTAGTCTCTCGATGCTTTATATGATTTTCTTAATTGCCCATTGCTCTCTTCAGTTGCTCCTCAATATATGTGGTTGTTGCTTCCGCTTTTCTTTAGTCTTCTAACAGCTGTTGTGATCATGTTTGTTTTCTTATGCTGTGTTTATATTGGATGTTTTTTGTGTCGCTCTTGCCTGCTTCGAGGCAATCGTCTTTTGTTCTCTCACCCATTTATAGTATCTGGTTAATCGTCCACTCTGTCTTCAGTTGCTCCTCAATCGAATTCTTGGTTGTAAATTCAACTTTTTTTACGCCTCATATTCGATGCTATGAAAATCTTCCGTCGTGCTCTCTTCACTTAGATCTTCACCTCTGACAGAAATTTACACTCATGTAGTCTTATGGGGGTAATTCTTTAACTTTTTTCTTGTTGACTTAAAAAGAGTTAACGCATAAAATCGTCTAGATGTTCAGGAAAATTGTGATTTCTACTTGGAACTTATCTATAGATCTTGGACGTAAAGAAACGAATCGAAAGCCTTATTGGGACGTAATGGGTGGTCCAGTAAAACTGATTACAAATTTCTCATCACGAAGTTTAAGTAAATATTTGTCAGATTGATTAATAACGAGCAGTGGCTCCCGTTCGGGCTCGTCCGTCACGTAGCCAATTATTCGTTCACTTTTTTACTCATTTTTTAAACGGCTTAACCCATCGGACAATTAGGGTACTACCGTAGTCAATTTAATTTTTAATTTAAAAGGGCTCTTTATATGCATTTAGTTGTGCGGTTTTTTTTCGTACGTTTATTCCGTACGGAAATTAATGGTTTTCTGATGCAAATTTCCAGTCGGTGATGGATGGATTGGAGGGTAAATCGTATCTTCATGGTCGATTCTATTGATACAGTTGTGCTTCAAAGTGTGACCAGTTTTCTTCAACAGCGACTTTCTTCGGTTGCTCAAAGCCAACCCGAATAGATAAATCGATTCGGGGTCTAGTTCGGATGGTGGTTAAGTAGAATGGGCGTGTTGTTTACCTGCTATCGCGCCAGTCTCATAAATCAGAATCAATTTTCATTCCTGGAGTAAAAAAATATAATCGCCCGTCTCGTGTCATAATTATCCCGGTGATTTATGGTTTAACGGTTATTAATTGATTAATTTAGATATTGATTGCATCTTGTGGCCGATAAATTTTTCGTAGACGACAGCTTTCAGATTTAACCGTAAGGATTGGGCATTTATCCTGAGATTTATTAGCTAGCTGAAGAAGTGCAGCAAGTACCGACTAGCACCGAAATTCTAGGCATTCAAGCAATTAATCTGCTGTTAATTAAATGCTGGCAAAAGTAGCAAACTCACCTGCCTTGAACGAGCGTTTATCAATCTAATAGCTCTTGCCACCCTAGAATTATTATTTTAAAATTTATTTCTGTTCCTGCACGTGGAGCATCTGTTCTGTTTGCCAAAAATTACACCAAGCCCGGACCTTTAGAAAGACAAAGCTTGATTGTTATTACAGCTTCAGCTCTCACCACTTTATCACTGACTGAGAGAACAAGCAGTTAATAAAATCTAAAAAATGCCTAGATTTGCATCAGTACCGAGCGATAAAATCGAGCAAGAATGCCGTGCTACAGGTATGCGCTTTATGAATAAGCGAAATTATTTAACATGACGTTTCGCAGCATGTACTTGCATTCAACGAACTCTGATTATTAGCAAAGTTTGCCCGGATGTCTGCCCTCTTTAATAATACCCGGCCATAAATAAAGGTGAAAAATCCCACAATAATTATGAGTAGCATTTACAGCATTACAACTGATAATAGTGGGAGCAAGCAACAACTTGTCCCGTCTCAAAACTGAACTGAACGGTTCGGTATGCATTTATAATCAGTATGATGATGGTTTGCAGCTTGTGCAATTGTAGAAATCTGCGGGCCATAAATATTAAGGGGGGCCCATCTATCAGGTTCGTCCTCATGTAATCGAGTGCCGGATAATCACTAGAATTAGCAAAGGTCCGGCTTGGTGGTCCACTACTACTGCCAAAGTCCCACGCAGCATCACAACACCCTGTCACAATCACCATATAATTATGTTATAAATTACGCCCAATAATCGGGCCTGACTACCCGCCCGGCCTTAAGGCTGTTTGGTTTGTTCGACGACTCCTAATTGAAATCGACGCTGAACAGGGATTTCCTCAGTCTTTATTTCATCGGTCCAACAGAAGCAGAACAAAAAAAATGCCAAATTTGCCTCATGAACCTCAATTGGGCACATGCACTGCACTTTCGCACTTGCATCAGACAGTCATC